ACTATCCTAAAATCCCCCCTCAACAGACGAAGTGTCAGTCCAGGCTTTCAGTCTTCGTACCAGAACTCACTTGATCTCATACCCCCTCTTTGCTAGGGTAACAGGGCACCACAACCCTCCCCAGTACCGACCAAACTCGTTCTGACGGTCAGGAAGTGCCTTTCTCCCTCGGTAGTTCCTGTGGCGACAAGCCCCTTACCGGTTACAGGGTCACTACCCTGGCGCCAGCCTCGTTGGACGGTCTGGTTATGCGATCAGCATAACTTCGCAGGCCTCAAGCTTCCCCCCCGGGTTACAGAGCACAGGCTCCAGCACCGGCCTGCATCGTCCCAGCACCGTCCTTCTAACCTACTTACCCTGACCAACGACCCTCCTCTGTTAAGAACCCCTTCTGCCTTCCATCCCCAATTCCAGCTTCGCACCCCTAAGAAATCAAGACTTTTTGAAAATCGAAATTGGAAAATGAGATCAAATAGCCATCACGAAATTTTTGACATCCAATTCAGAAACCGGCCAATTCAGAAAATCAATCGCGGACACAGTTTGAGAGATTTCGAAATTTCAAGATGAAAAACGGAATAGGAAGTTAATTTTGATGTCCTCACGGACTTCCGACTCTGATTTCCAGAATTCTAGTTCAAGAAATCGCTCAGATCGTAGATCAGGAATTTGTAAACAGAGAAAGCCAACTGTAATCAACCTCTAGACAGGACATGAGAAAGAAGATGCAGACTATCGATCAGGATCTATAAAATCCTAGCACAAGACTACGGCATGTAGAATGAGAGATTAAACTTTTCAAAGTTCAGAACATAGAAACTTACCCTCTGTAGCACCAATATTAGCTCGTCATCATTTGGATCATCACCAGGGATAACGATATAGAAAAGACAAATAGGTAATACAAATTCGGGCGGACTATCGTGGTAACAGCCTAATCCCCGAAGCCCTAAGATACTATGGGAAAATAAAACAAAACTTAGGTTGACGTCTTTGAGAACTGCCGCGCGCCGAACTCCCATCGCCTCGTAAAATTTTCTCGTTCTTCGTAAAATCGCCAGTTCTTCAGGTCATCTCAAGACACTTCACTCCCGCCGTCTCCAGATCCCACTACCAGACCACCATCGCGACCAAACTCATCCCCCTCCTTTTCCTGCGAGAAAAACACCATCTCCTCCCCATAGCCAGTGCTAGGACAACCCTTTGGCACAGTTCACTAGCGAGAAGAGATACTCAGGACACCGCCGCCTCCATAAAACTTCCGGAAGTCGATTGTGTTGTGAGTGACCGCGTCAAGCCCGTCAACGCGGCCTCAAAGAGAGTTCGATCCCTGCACAGCGACCTTCAACAGCTGGATCGGAAGAAACAGGAGACGGAGAACGAGGTAGGAAGAGGGAAAAAACCAGGACACTCTCATTCGATATACCCCCTCCCTTTGCTTTTTACACGTGGCATCTCATTTAAGATGCTGGCGCCTCCCCATCCAAGATAGCTACCTTTAACACCACCCCCGCCACTCCCTCCACCACACCCCCTCCCAACCCCTACCAGCATCACCAACGTTCCACAGCGCCCTCACATCCTCGTCACGAGTCACTCTAGCCATCGCCTTCGCTCGCCCACCTCGTGCTGCTCGTCGCGCCCGCTGCGCCCTCACAACCTCGTCGCGAGTCACTCCCGCCATCGCCTTCGCTCGCCCGCCTCGTGCTGCTCGTCGCGCCGACCAGTTCATGCCGTAGCGGAGGGGCGCAGCGCTCCCGGAAGCGTCGCGCCCCACTTGCTCCAACTCAATTTGCAGCTGTTTTTTTTTTCCTTTTTATGTCCTATGTTTTATTTTTTCCCCTATGGTGGCTGCTCCTGCCCGAGGAGCAGGCGGGGGCACGGATGGCAGGCTCTTAGTCAGAGAGCCGTGAATGGCTCTATTGCCAGAAGTCATCATTCTTCCCCAGGGCCATGCTGATCTTCTCTGTACTATCCTTCCATGTTCCAGCGTATAATTCATTCCCATTTTGGTAATCTGGAAACTAGTGCAGCGTGGGCCCTGGCAAATCTCGTAGGACGAACTGCGTCGCTCCAACACTGACCTTGGCCAAATATTGTTGGCTGCTATGCAGCAATGATATTCGCCTTTAGACACCGCTAACCCGGGGTAGGAGGGGACTACGGGGAGGTGCGAGTGATTGGCCAAAGATGCTCGGCAATAGCATTGGCGGTTTCCCGTTTTCCCCCGCCGGCAATGCCATATCACCCTGCATCATCCTGGTGAGAGGGGCTGATACAAGAGTTTGCACCACTGCAGTGGTGCAAACCTACCCCATGGGCTGGGGAGACTTCCAGGTTTGGTTGGGTGGTGGTCCCCCTCGTGCTATACATAGAGCAGAGAGAGAACAAGATAGAATATATACAAAAGGAGATTGAGAAAAGAAAAAAAGAGACACTCAGCACTGTCAGCAGCAACCGAGGTGTCATTGGTGCTTATTTCAAAGACACTATTTGAAACGGTTTTCACCTTTTAGCAGTAGCGGATGCAGTACCCAGGGTTCGATCCCTAGACCTCACCCTACCCATGTACATTATCTGTGTAGACCCCGATAATTGAACCTGTGACCTGTGTATTCGTAGGCAGTTGGTAGACCTGTTGTAGGTCCATAGACAGCAGGGGTTCGATCTGTAGGTCTATAGCGTAGGAGTCTTAGTGAGTTCTGAAAGCTTAGCTGTAGACCTTCTAGAAGATAGGCAAGTGGGCAAGTGGTCAAGTGGCGAGGCAAGTGGTGGACTAAACCGCAGTGCAACAGCAGT